GAGTAAGTTCTCCTTTCTGAAGCTAAACCAGTAATTTTAAAGCTTTCTTCACCTGGAATGTTGTTAGTGAAAACCTCTGCTTGGGTTAAAGCCCCTTTTTTTCCTTTTTACACTGTTGTCTCTCTTCTTTTGACCTGAGGTCAGATATTAAAGACTAAATTTCCTCATGAAATTTCTGAGCAAATTTTCATTTATTGATGTGCTTCTATAAAAAGTTTGGAAAGCACACCTAAGGCCATTGACATTGCCAATGGATAACAAATTACATGACCTTGGGTTGGTCTAGCAAGTCAAGCTCATAGCGTCACCTGCTAAGCATGTACTAGACCCTGTATCTACATTAAATCTCTTGGTCTTCACAAAAACCTCACAAAGTAAGTTCCACCTTCAGTCTCATAGTTATAAATAAATAGGCTAAAGTGAGTGAGTCTTAGAGAAGTTCTTTTACTTGCTCCAAGTCTCAGAGGTGGTAGAACCAGGGCTTGAATCTATGAGCCACCTGGCCCCGAATCTTGACCCTTAATCTCTCTGGCCACAGTAGCTAATGTTGACCTGGTCCTTACACTAGGCCACATAGTATGTTAAGCTCTCAACCTGCAATATCTCATCGGATATTTACAACAATTTGTTTTCAAATACTATTAGTGGTGCCATCATTTTACAGATGACAAAATAGGAGATTAGAAAAGTTAAGTAATATTTTTTTAAGGCAAAAGTAAAAGCACACTTTTCTGGCATGAAATAACAAAACTGGTCCTCTAAGTTGCCTCATTTCATCTACACTTTGGCATGCAGGCTGGCCTGGCTAAAGAATATAATGTGAGTGAATGTGAGACTTTTGCTCACCTGCAAGAGTAAAAGAAAAATATTTGAGCTGCCAGGGTGAAAGCCATCGTGCCAATAAACATCAAAACAGCCTTTAATCCTTTGATCAGTGAATTCTATACCTAAATAAAATGATTATTGCTTTCATAAAATGTCTCTGTTTGCTACTGACAGAAAGCAAACTGAGCTAGTATGTCCTGCAATAGCCTTTAAATAACCAAGGAGAGAGATCAAAATAAAAATAAATCTTGACCAGATTTATAGGTGCACCTTGATTAGTTCTTGTTATTTTCCTTCAAATAAGCAATACCTGAAAAAAATGAAAAGGGAATGTTGAGACCAGATATCATGTAATAGATGGGCTTTCTCTGACATACAGTATGGTATAATGACAGAAAAAAATAATGCTGGCCCATCATTTGTGACACTTACCAGCTAAGTAGAGGAGAGAGAAAGACAAAGAGGATTTTTCAGGATGCTGAATGGTGCCACTACTTGGATTTCAACAAATTATCATTTGTTTTACTGTACTTCTCAAAGTTTTGTTGTATTGCAGCATTTTGTTGCTTTCTCTAAGAAAACACATTTTCCTTTTCTTCAACTGGTACAATTTTTTTGAAAAATTCTAACATTAAAATCAAATGTAGTGTATTCAAATATAATTCCATTGCTTGCTAATGAGAAAGCATATCTTATAAGAATTTTAATTATGTACAATGTGATGAAACTGGAGTTGTTTACCTACTAAGCCATCACTTTCTCCTTCACACTCCCACCAACGCTCAGATATCTTCTCAAAGTGAGATGCCATAATTAATAGAAATGCCAGTCAATAGAGCTAAGGATTATTATTTTAAAAACAGTATAATTCTCATTTTTCTATAAACTACCCTTTTAATGAAAACCTCATTTCCTTCAGGTCACACTTTATCTACAATGGATTTGGCTAGTTGAATAAAAATACCTGTTAAAGGAGAGAAAGTTCCCATCAAAGCTGTTGAAATCTGATTTCATTTCAGATTCTAGAACTAATGTTGTTTTTTGTTTAAATAGATTTTGTCTGTCAATTTCCAGACCTGCTGTGCCATCAGCCTGTATGGACTGCTGTGGTCAACACGGGGGTTGTAGCAGCAAATTTTATTATGGACTGGTAATTGAATTGAACAGGTTTACATTTGAATAGATTTACTACATCATGATCTCTGACATACTGCATGGGACTGAAATCCCTCTCCATCCATAAAGATACATTTAAGACAGTATTATTCTCTCTAGGCTTAGAAAGCAAGTCTTGAACCAAGGAGATGGCCAAACATAATTGTGCATTTATATGCAGGGTACCATGCAATATTTCACTGCATTTTTTAAGTACAGAAGAAAAACAATATTCCATATTTACTCATAACCATCCCATCCTTTTGATTTGGTGGTTGTGGGAGGTGGGGGGAGGTGTTAAAGAACTGATATTTTGCCATCGAAGTGGGCATTAAGAAGTAAAGGAAAATAAATTATTATTTGAGTATATCAGCAACAGCAGCAATTCCCTAGAAAACAGATACTTGCTTGATAACAGCAATTGAAGAGGTGTGAATTATAGATAAGCACTGTCCCATTCACTTTCATCAACAATGTTTAATTAAACACAGTTCACACCTCTTCATTCACTCTTACTGCCCTTCAGGATTGTTCCTGCTAGAAATCACAATGGAAAAAAAATATTTAAGGAAAAATATCTTCTTTAAACCTGGAAAAACAAATGGTGTGTAAATTATAGCAGTAAATCAAGCTAATAAAAAATTACATATTCCTAGAATTCGAGAAGTGTCTCCATGTAATTCAGTATTTCAAAATAAAACCTAAATCTAGATCAATACCACATCAATACAAACTGTTCATTCTTGTATTAATTTTAGAACTTCTTAAAAATGGATTTGCTTTTGAAAAATAATCATTCCTCAACTTTCAAGGATTTGAAATCACTCTTAATTAAGTCTTTTTGATTGAGCATAAGTTTAGTTTGAGTCTCTACAACGAAACTAAGTGGCAACATAAATATAATTAAGGCCAGAAATTGACTGTCAATCACTGATCACTAACTTTCAGAAATATGTTTTGTTTGTTACTCTGCTATAGGGGTTAAAGCAATGGTTAAGATAAAGGACTCCACTTCACAAACGTAAGCTACCACCATCATCCTAACTGAAAGAAAAACTCTGTCATGTGGGTTGGGTGGTGGTTGTTTTAATTATATGTTTTCCTTCATCAAAATTGTCCTCCTGGCAACTTCACGTAAGTTTTCTCTAGCAAGAACCACCTAATCTGTCTTTTCCACTGTCATATCACTGGAGCCTGGAATAGTGCCTGGAATATGGGAAGACCTTAGTACATATTCAGCAAATGGATTACAAACATAAAACATGTTAACTCTGAAAAATCCTAAAAGGGTCAAAGGCTATACCGTAAAAAGTACCCCCATCCTCATTTTCATTCACCAATGTGACACTGTTACCAACCTTTAGGTATCCTTCCTTCCTTCTACTTCTCCATGTATACACATGTGTATATCCATCACAGTGTGTACAATGTCTGCCAGCCATTCTCCTTTCCATCTCTCTCTACATACATATATATATATATGTATACACACACACATTCCCATACACACACACACACATATATAATGAATCATACTATTAAAAAACTTGTTCTTATATATTATTTACTTAGTAATGTATCTTGGTCATCTTTTTGTAAAACTTTATCATAACATTATACACTTCTTTGTTTATAGCTCTTTCTCAAGGGAAGAGCAAAGTTGAAGACTAGAAGAATTTAAGAGGGTCTTCTTTGTTCCTATTTGATAAGTAAAAGTCAGAGAAATACGATGTGAATTCCATATATCCAAACATAATCTGATCCACTCATCTTCCTATAATATTGTTCACAGTAAAAATCTTGAAAGAAGAACAAATCAGGAAAAATTATGACACCACGTGACGGCACTCACTCATTTACACTCTGATTCACTGTTGGTGAATTAATATGTGAGCCTATTTGGATTTAAAATTTAAAAAATAGGGGATCTCACCGCCAGTAGTCGTGGCCGAGTGGTTAAGGCGATGGACTAGAAAAATAGGGGATCTCCAGTAAGAACAAAATATAATAATAGGACAAGCCCCAGAAACAAAGCATAGTTCTGTGATGCAACAGAAGTTATACATTTAAATATTTAATGAATCTAATTTTCTGTTCAAACATTAATTACCAACATTTCATTGTGTTACTTTATAAAACTGTGTTCATTTCAAACCTGGTGAATTTTCTGAAGAAAAGGAAACAGAAAATTCTAAATGCAGCATGTAAAAATGCACATTTACAAACACACACACAAGTACAGCAATGCGTAAAAGAACAAAAACTGAATCACAGGCCTCACAAAGTAAAGAAAACATTTTATCCATCTCCAAGCTAACATGTGAGTTTCGCTAGAAATGCTGAAATATACAAATATTTCAGGACCTTTGACATGTGTGGAATAGTTGAGCGGCATCTAGAATCAATGGGCTCAGTTCCTGGCTCCACCAATTATAAACTGTGTGAGCTTAAGCAATTTGTTTAGCACAGAATACATGTCCCTGTTACTATTTTATGTTTGTTGTTGTTATCCCCAACTGAAAGCAAATAGAAAGCAATTTTAATATCATATTTCAAGCCATTTGTAATAGAAAATAAACTCTAAAAGATAAGGTTGGGAAAGAATAAAGAGTGCTTTAAATCCAAGATTAATTTAAAAAAAAAACAAAACAAAACAAAAAAACACTCTCTGTAAACCCAGTAATGAGAAGAAAACCAAAAATTCAATGGCAGTAGCCTCTTGGTTTGTCTTTATCCTTTGCTTTCTGCAAATTGTAAAGAAGAAAAAAGCACTACGGTCAAGCATACCTGGTGTGTTTGGCTGTACATCTGCTTCTCCTACCTTGTCCCGTCCTGTCAATGTCAAGTGGTTAGCCATAAGTTATCAGAAAGTCCAGGTATAAAGGAGTATTCTGCCATCAGAGTCAGAGTACTTACTGTTAACCTCATCTTTTTCTGGTTTCTCTAAAATTGGTGGAATTTTTTGCCTCCCATCCCCACACCAAAATCAAAAGCTCAGGGGCACTAGAAAAGAGCCTTACCTTCTTTCAGCATGCCCACTTTTAAACACTTCATGAAGCGGCAAGCCTGGCAGGATTTACGTCTGCGCTTTGTGATTTCACATTCATTCGTGGCAGGGCAGCTGTATTCTATATTGCCTATGACACAAGTTTGAAGAAAAGTTGTCAGATTTGCAAGATCCAGAAAACATTAGCATCCCAAAGGCAATGTCAACTCTTATTATTCTTACTCCCCCACCCCGAAAAATGTCACATGAGACTCAACAGAAATCTCACAAATACCAAGCTAGATGTTCTGCTATAATCACAAAAGATACGTGGGGCAAGGAGAACACACATGGCAAAATGCTTCAATAGATGAACTTTAAAATTAGCCTTCAAAACATTATGCTGAGTCCACCCATGCAAAGGAAGAGTCTTCCAGAATCTTGTGATCCAAAAGAAATTTCAAAATAGAGTATGTTCATGAAAACACAAATATCAAAACCAGATTCTTGGATTGCCAATCCTGGATTTATTCTGTTTCCTAATACTTTGGTGCATCAGGCTTCTTGTCTTTCTGACATTGAACAATATAAACTTCACTGTGGAAAATGGTATGTAAACAAATCTGGGATGTTATAGTAAGCTCCTAGAGGGTAGGGACAGAAATTACATAGTTGTTGCTCTAGCACTTACCAGAGCCTTACAACACAATTCTGTGCTTGGTAAATGCTTCCTGATGATGGCGATGATAATGAAGATGATGGTCATCATCATTATCATCATCATCATCATCATGATATGTGTTACATAATTTGCATAATTAATTCCAAACACTGAAGTTCCCTGATGTTAGACCAAAGAATAAATTGCTACGAAATTATATATTTTTAATATTAGACTTTGTATCACTTATGGTAGTACCTACATATCTAAAATGGTAACTAAGAAACCAGAAGAAGATCCAAACTAAATTTTTTTTTTCAATTAGTACCAATGGCAGTGTGTGGGATGTGCTCTGGGGCTGCCTACAGCTTTGTAAAGAAGCTGCCTTTAAAATAAAGCTTTTCTCCCCTATCAGCTCTGTCACATAGTGCTTGAAGGTCTTTCGTTACTTCCTAACCCTTTCCCCTTGTGATTAAGTGCATTAGTATCTTAATGAAAATGCATTCTGTTTATTGCCCTCTTGGGAAGGGGGAGGTCATCACACCAAATGCATAAATTGTCATCAGCGACGGTCCGAGCATAATTGCAATTTTGCTGCTCCATGTTTGCAATACTCAGGGTCCATCCAAGTCCCCTGAAACATGCGCAGATTCTAGTAATTAGCATAGAGTCTGCCTGGGACCACAGCATTGATGAAATATTTCAGAGTTAATCACACTTTGTAAACACTGATTTATATTGACTACCTTTCTTCAGACTGATGTCTCCTCATTAAATATCACATTAGTGGATTGCAGGGTAGTACAAAGACTCAACTACTCAGCAACTGCTAATTCAACAGGAGGTAATACCTAACCACTTATAACTACTGAAAACTGGTTAAGTATGCATGACTTGAAAGAAACACATTATAATTTCAGATAGCCTATCAAAATTGCCTAAATTAGCATTCTAATTCAGGGCATTTATAATAATAAAAGCAACTACTTTTTAACAGGAGGTTAAATAATAAGAGTAATATTAATTGCATCAACAGAAGTATATACCATCACCTTCCTTGGAGATATTACTGATGCTATACTCTTAGAAAACCAAGGATAAGTCAAAGAAACCAGAGTGGCTGGGTCACAGTTAAGAATAAAAGTATTTATAATCTGAACTTTAGATGAAACATTCTTCACTGCAGAGTTTCTTTAACCATTTCTGAATATTTATTTTGCATCAAAAGAGTTTTGCTAGTAACTTTCTACGGGTTAATTAGTATTCGACTACTAGATCCTTCCAAACTATACGGCTCCCCCTATACTTACTTAAAAAGAAACAGGTCTTTGCTGTCTTAGGAAGGACTGAACAGTGACTGGTTAAAAGGAACAGAAAAAAAGAGAAAAAAAAAAGTTTGCCAAACAGCATTCTTTTCCTTTTTTCTGCCTGAAAAGTCAGTATGAAGTAACACTTTCATCACTTCCCTTATCAAGGTATGAGTGCTAGTCCTACCCACCTTTAACCCAGTGCTAAAAACTTCTACCAGGATGATCCACTGCCACAAACATAATCATCATTCTTTTCAAACCTGTTCCACTTCCTCTTTGAAAACTGTATCCCCATCCTTCATATCAACAAACTTCTGACAAGAATGCACATCAGGCATGTGTGAGCTCACACCTGGACTATGGCAGTTATCCCCTCCCTGGGCTTTTTGCCTCCGTCCTGACCCACTCTAATCCACGCGGCATACCGCTGTCATCTTCCTCTCCCCAGGACTGCTTTGATCATGTCATTACGCTGATTTCAAAAAATCAATAGAATTATTTGCCTTTCTGGATGAAATATAAACCGTAAGGCTTACAAACAGGGTCTTCTCCCAGCCTTTCATTTACTTTTTCAGCAATATTGCAATTGTTACCTGACATGAACTTTTTGAGGCAGCCAATTTGATTTATTCATTTTTTGCTAAGTGTCCTTCAAACTTTCCTCTGAGAATTATCTATCTTTGCCACTTTTTCTACTTAAAATATTTCCAAGGCTCCTTGTTCAAGCCCAACTCCATTCCAATCTTTCATGAAAACTTCTCTGACTATCCCAGAATATGATTTCTTGGTTTTCATATCTTTTCAGGTACTCTCATCATATCCAGACAGACCATATTTTGTTATACCTTTCACACACATATTACCCATTGGATGGTAAGACACTAGAGGACAATGGACATTTTTTATGCAGTATAAAAACCATCCAAGCTGGGCACAGTGGCTCACGCCTGTAATTCCAACACTTTGGGAGGCCAGGTGTGGTGGTGCATGCCTGTAATCCCAGCTACGTGGGAGGCTGAGGCAGGCGAATCGCTTGAACCCAGGAGATGGAGGTTGCAGTGAGCCATTGCACTCCAGCCTGGGCAACAAGAGCGAAACTCTGTCTCAAAAAAAAAAAAAAAAAAAAAAGTCTAGTTAATTTTTCAAAATTGCGAACAGTAGCTTTGACAAAAATGGAAAAAAGTATAGCAAAAGGGGAAAGATTATGCCAAAAAAAATTACAAAAGCTTCTGAGGAGTGAAGTGTGAATAAAAGAGGAAATCATAAAGGAAATTATATTATATGGGAAATAAAAATCCATACTGATATGAATAGAATAAAAATAAAAGAAAAATAAAATAATACAGATAGATGGTGCTAAATGAATTATATAATTTTTATCTTACTATATAATTCTTATTGGTATTGACAAAATGAGTGCTCTCAGAATTGGAGCTACATTGGAGAAAATATTTAGGATTGATTCAATAATAGTAGCTAAATCTATGAATGACTCATCTAGGAATAATTATGTAAAGATTTTAAATCTCTTCAAAAGGCAGAAGGGAATCTGTCAAATAACGATATGAGAGTTTTAGATCACATTTAAAGGACTCTGGTCTCCTTTTTATCCATTACATTCTATAATTCTTCAATGATAATAAGAAATGTAAAAGCAGGGGAGGTTTTCCTAGTGTGTTAGAATGAAGTGTTGAAGTAGGACCTCTGCGTTATTCCTTGTTGAATCCTCAGTGCTAATCGATGAGCCAGGAGTTTTGTATTACGGCTGGTTTGGGATAGAGAGAGGTGGTTCCTGATATCAAGGAGTCCACCAAGAGGAGACAAGACGTATAAACAAACAATGCAGTTTAGTGGATGGTGTCATGGTTCAGGATGCAGTACTGGCATACTGGTAAGTACATACATTCCCACAAACACAGGGATTATGCTTGGGAAGATCAGCAAATTCTTCACTAGGAGCAAATGCTTGAACTATGCCATGAAAAGTAAAGAAATGACTACGTTGGGGTGAAGGAGGTAAAGGACTCTTCCCAGAGCGACAGCAAATACAATATATGTGTAAAAATTTCACCATGAATGAATGGAAGACATAGTGGTCCTAGTGTCTTCACAAACGATATATTTTCAGCTGAAGTGTATAGAAATTGTTTCTGATTAACTGGGTCCCTTTCACAAATATTTTTTTCAATAAAGTTGCCTTGACACATATGGATAACCTTGATTTCACTAAGTGACTCTGGTTTATATCTTGAAAAACAAGTCAACATCATTGTAAATAACTTATTTGCTGGAGGAAAACCTCTCTAATTTCCAAGCCCTCCCATTGAGTTACTCAGTTCATTGTTGTTGGCTATGATCACCCACCCAACAAAATCTTTGATCCATGTTAGAGTCTACAGAAATTGTGCCCTTGAAAAACCTTCCCTGGTGCTTTTTCTATTCAATAAAGAAAGGATTTTATCCTAAAAATGTGCTGCCCCAAGCACCTGGGTAACGATGTTACATCTATTTTGGTAATGGTTCAAAGACATTACTCCCAGTAGACCATATGATCTCCACGGGGCACTTGTTTTCCTTCCATTCTCTAAAGGTGGAAACTAGACAAAAATATTTCCAGTAGCAACTATGGGCACCTGGAATGTGAACACTGAATATTCACTCAGGAGGATGCAGAAGTTATTGTTCACAGCATAGGATTTTCATTTCAGACACGGAGTTTTCTTGGATTATAGCTTGCTATTTTCTGGGACACATTTGTTAGATGGCACCAGGGACTGAATTGGGCAGCTACTGATGACACGACTGGAATTTTCCCAGTTTTGTCAATAGCTAGGGAAGTGTGCTCTGCTTCAGAGGGAACCAAATCAACATGGAAGCTCTGGATTTTTAAACCAGGCTGACAAGAATGATAGAGCAATTTATAATATCTCCTGGCGGCTTTTCAGAAAGTCCCGGGCTCTGATTACTTATTTCAGAGTCTTTTGTACAATTAGTTTGCAGGCAATATAATTTTCTCACTTACTGCTTAATAGAATCTTGCAGCTAGCTGGCGGAGAGAATAACAGGGTGTATGTAAAACTCCAGCCTGGAGTGCCAGTGGATAATTTGTATATTCCTTTCAGTCACTTAATGGACTTTTACAGTTTGGCAGTGAAAGGGCTGAATGATGTAAATTAGCAT